TTTTTTTATTCATTGGTAGAATAAATTATGTATATATTATTTTCATAAGTTCTGGGGGTAAATATAAATTGATAATATGTGGGTGACATGGTGAATGACATGAAACTTATGAGGCTAAAATTAAAATTCATCAAAAAAATAATAAATTAATAAATGGGTGGAGGTTGGATGGCAAATAGTAACGGTGTTGGTATTAGTAACGGTGTTATTAACGGCGTTAAGTGAGGGAGGCAACTAATATGAAAGTTGAAAGTAGAGGGAGGAAAGTAGTATGCTTTGGGAGAGTTGAGGTAGATCTATGAACGATTTCAAGGTACAGGGAGGACAATGAATAAAAAAGCAAACTAGAGGAACTAGTTGGCTTTAACCCTTAACAATATCCCAGAGTACAGCAACTTTCTCTTTTCGATGCCCCGTTCCCTTCTTCTGCCTTTCTTCTCTTTCGAAAGTCTTTGCGACCTTTGATTCCTATCTAATCTAATCTCTTTTTCCATGAGGTTAAATACTTTTTCTCTCCTTCTATTACAGAAAAAAATCCTTTTTGAGTACTTGTACTAAAATTTTTTTTTAATTTTTACTGTTTAAAATTTGACTTTTTTAAATTTTTTATTAAATTTTTATTGATATGACAGGTTAATTAAAATTTTTTAATTTTTTTTACTTAATTTACGTAAAAAATTCATTTATAAAAATTGATAATATGATAATTTTTCGTTTAAAAAAAATTTAATTACTAATTTATCCTCATCTTCCCTTTTTGTCTCATCCTCTCCTTACTCCCGCCTTCTTTTTTTTTTCTTTTTTTTTTCAGCTTTTGTAATTGTAAGTATCCAACAGATATTTTATAGCAATCCCTTGGCATTGTCAACACAAAAATCAATTTCATTTCGGAACAACACGGACCAACGAATTTAGTACCAACACATTTGTCCTTTTGTTTTTGACACTCCCAAAGCTTTTCTATCCACCAAACATATAATATTCATAAAAATAAAAAAAACTTAGAAACACCGCCAAACCAACTAGAACTTAAGATTGAACTTCTTTAATTGATAATTTATTGCAAAAAATGGGAATCAAAGAAATAAGAAGAAAAAGGAGAATACTGTAGCTAGATTTTCTTAAAAATAAACCATCCCCACTCAATTAAAAAAAAAACTACAATTCTGGGTTTTCAATTTCTTTTCCTCTTTGGAAGGGTAAATATGGAAACATCCAAGATAAAGAATAAGAAGACATACATCGAGCTTACTGGTAATGGAGTCCTGCTGATTTAAGGGAGCTAGAATCAAAGATCCTGTCGCCGACCTCTCCCCCAACCTAGCGAACAAATTGTGCATCGTCAACCTGCCAACGCATGTCTGTCCCTCTTGCTCAAAACCCAGGTCGAAAATGGTGAAAGGAGAAATTAATAATTAAAATTTTTTTAAATAACAAATTTTGTCATGTAATTAATTTTTACATATGGATTTTTCACGTAAATTAAGTAAAAAAAATAAATTTTTTTTAACTAACTTACCACATCAATTAAAATTTAATGAAATAATTAAAAAAATTAAATTTTAAATAATAAAAATTAAAAAAATAAATTTTTTCTATATAGATATCAAAAAATTTTTTTTTCTTATAATAGAAGGATAAAG